AATCAAACTAATGTTTCCAAGGCCAATAATGAATCTTAAAGCTCAAGTATGATGGTTTAAACATGTGAGAAACATATACTTAACCTAATGATTTGTGTCAGACTCTACCTCCTGAGCTTCTTTTACCTTTAGCAGCCGCCTGGCTCTCCTCCTGCAGTATCTTGTCTCTCTGCTGCTCCAGCTCCATCATCTCCCTCCTGTGTTTCTCCTGCAGCTCCTGCATAGCTTTACGATGGGCGATTTCCATGGCTTCCAGTCTGGCCCTACAGGGGGCCCCGGGGCCACAGGGGCTGTCCACCTCTATCCTCATGGCTGCTCGCTCTTTCTTGATGCTCTCCACTTGCTTTTGCAGGGAGAGAGCCTGGTAGAGGGATTTGCAGCGAATGTAGTGGAGAACGGAGACTTTGATGTATCGCTGCTGGATAATATCATTACAATTATTTTATTTGCAAGGAACTATAACTTCTTCTTACCTCCTTCTGAAGAGCTTCAGCTGTATTAGTTTGAATGGTTTGGACACCATTTAAAGATGGAGGAGCTTCTTCTGAGCTTTTTAACTCTGCCTGTGAACCAGTGACAGAGTGTTCGGCCTCCTCAGGGCTCGACTCATGAGTCTGGGTGGTAACTGGAGACTGTGGTGCCTGTGGGGGGCTTGACTGAGAAGCCTGGGCTCCAATGAGAGACTGCGGACTCATGTCTCTAAATGTTAGCGTTTCAAATTCTATCCACTTCCTGTTGACCTCTGAGTCCATGGTTTCGATGACAGGCACAGGTACACTCCCCTTCTTCAGCTCCATGGAGTCCCACCTGCAACTCATCTCACTGAAGGGGACCCCCTCCTCAAACCACCTGTTTCTCTCCTCCAATCTCTTTGCCTGCTCACGGTCCCAGCCCTCCCCTTCTCCTCTCTGACTGGCTGGAGAGAAGTCTGCGTGCAGATGCCCGTCTACACTCTGGTGGCGGCGGTGGTGCTCGGCCTGATGGGAGTTTGCAGCTGTGGTAGAAGTGGAAGTGGTTGGTTCATAACCAGAGTCCTTGCAGGTGAATCGAGAAAGAGGTTGGCATGACGACGGTCTCCGGTAGCGGGGGTTCTCTTTCTCACTGCCGGTGTCTGATTGGCTGTGGTGAGAATAAGGGAGAGACGAGCAGAGTAGAGTTACACATCAGAGGAAAGATGATAGAGGGGGTTCACTACACACAGACCACCCAGTCACACTGTCTGCATTTCTTCACACTGCTCAGGAATTTTCACGTCTGATGAAAATACACATTCAAGGAATTAGACTCAAGAATTTTCTATCTTTATCTTCTCTGGCTTCACCTTGTGGATGTTCTGACTTCATAAAATATGACTTTAATTAACTAACTGCATAAGTCAGAATTTTTAAGGAACAATGTCATTTGAGTGTCTTTTTCTCAGTATTATTCATTCTCTGTATGAGTAGATCTGTACTGTATTGATTGTCTTGTTGTGATGGAACTTTGTTCATCCTTTCAATGGCTCGGCCTGGTGTTGTCGACTGTATATGTGACATTACAGGTGACATTTTTTGTCTGAGGTATTACTAATATTACTTCAGCTAAAAGCCTGAATTCTTCCTCCACCACTTCCTCCAGTGTAAAGTCGGACTCACTGCGTGTTGTTCTGGATCGCCTGCTTTAGTAACTTCACCCAGTTCCGCCGTATTCTGGAGGTCACAGCAGAGAGAGTGAACACTGCTCTCTTTGTCTGGAGGAGATCAAAAGACAGAGCAAGACACACACGCACACACACACACACACACACACACACACACACACAGCAATAAACAGGAAGTTTGATGTGGAAATAGAGGGAGGTTTAGGTGTCAGACTGTCCATCTGTCACCGCACAACACAATGAGTACAAGTTCAGTTGAAGAACACTTACTTGTATTTGGAGTCCGTAGTGGTTCTGTACGTCACAATCAGACACGTTCACACAGGACGTCAGGTCGATCTCTCCGTCCAGATCGTCCAACTGCAGCACAATGAGAAAGTTCAAATTCAGACAAGTAACATCACACAAACAAGAAGAAGAATGAAAGAAAAACAGATGACAGGGTCCAACTAATGATGGAAATATCCTAGATTTCACATCATGTCAAATGGAATTAATTGCTGTAGATTCAAATATAGGATGTTTTCTGATAAAGTACTTATTGGGTCAAACCTCCTCAGCCTCCGAGTCTCTGTAGAACCTCAGCGAAGTATGACCCAGAACAAACCAGTGTTTCCTCCACTAAGCAAGAAACAGTACATGTTAATTAATCTGTGAAGTAAAACACTAATATATTGTAATAATATTTTCAGGTGTGTGGATATTTTAAGCATCAAGTCTCAGTGCATTGATTTGTATTCTGTCTGTGTGTATGACATTGTGGTTACAATGCCAGTTATGATTGAAAACCACAAAATTCTTACTTTGGATGAATTAAAATAATTTTAAAAAGTTACAAAACATCTTATTTACCTTTCCCTGTTCATCCAGTCTGGACATCCACCCCTTCAAGGAACAACGTTCTGCGGATCAAGTATCAAGAACAAGCTCTTTAAAGCTTCTGTAGCACTTTGAGTGTGAAACTACAGGAAGAGGAAACTGTCTATGACAGATGAATGTGTGAGATAACGACTTGATTGTTATGCGTGCAAAGAGAGGAGGGCAACATATTAAAGCATGAAAAGAGGGAAATATGCTGCAGAGTGTGTGTAGATAGAAAGAGGAAGAGGCTGATATGAAAGCAAACAGCTGCTGTTGCAGTATTTTATATCAGGAGATACTCACCATGCATCACATTGTATATGATTCATGTTATGTGGGGAGAGAAAAAGAAATGGAGAGATTTTCTTTAACACTTTCTTTAACATTGCGAGAGGGAATAATTCATGGATCTTGTTGCAGAGGGAGAGACTTATACCAAAAACAAAGTGTAGAGTTCTAATATCTATGAACAGGTGAAATTTGGTGTGGATCTGGACATGATTAGGATTTTGTGAATCAAAATAAATATTTTTGGGGGGATGATCTTTATTCAGTTACTGTATGGTAACAAATATTCCTTTCAGCTTTATCAGATAATTAATATTTAGTTTAATGGGAACCCTTTGCAGAACATTTATGTGCACATTTGTATCTGATCTCAACAGGTAGATCTCAAAGCTCACATTTTTTCATGGTCAGGTGATTCACAGCATTGGAGAAAATAACATTTTGAATGTTTCATTTTGTGATCATTCATCCCTTTGTGTTTGCTAACTCAGGAGTTTCAGACTCCAGGATACACTGGCTCGAACCATCCTAGAAACTAATAATAAAGATGATAAATCATATGAACATGCTGCCCTGAAACATACAGAGAGCACAGATTAATGGATTTTTACTGCAGGGTGCTTCTGTGAAAGCACCTGATGTAAAACAGCTGAAATAAACTTTGAGGATCCACTTTAGAATGAATCCATTTAATGACCCAGTTTCCTGTGAACACTGTGATTGATACACATGCAGGGAATCATGGGAGCTTGCTCACCTGTGTTTGCAGGTGTTCAGGAGAAGCTCGCTCATTCGGCTTTGAAGATCTGGGTTTTCCTCTTTGATGATCTGAACTCTTTGGCAGAACAAACAGGCAAGATTAAAGATTTTGTTTGTATTTCAGCATGTATTTTATTGTGAAAATCATTTCATCGCACCTGTGTATGAAGAGATGCTGTTGACGGCCTTCGAGATGATCGTCCGTTTTCGGAGTCCCGACATTTCTCTCGTCTGTCTCTCCCTCTCTCCCTGACTCTGCCCCTCTCATCTGGCTCAAGCCTTGAACTGTAGATGTCTGTCTCATCTCGGCCCCTTCAGGTCCACATTATGGTGTAAAGGAAAGACACATTTATTTTGTGTCTTTGACACACACAAATAAACTATGTGCACATTTTTTACATCTTTCTTTCCTGCCACGCTATTATTTCACTTTTCTTCCAACTGCCAAAGTATTTAAAGACACACCTACACTAGGAATGCAGAATAAATGTACAGTTGTGAGATGTCTGTTATGGTTGTACAGGAATATATGCTGAGCATCATGATACCATGCAGCACCAGGTGGTATATTACGAACCTGTATGACCTGATAGTGGGGTCTCTGCATGGGCTGGGACTCTGGTTCCTCCTCCTCAGTCCAGGAATTTCTTCTTCTGACTCCAGCTGGATCTTTGGAATATCAGCCAGAACTATGTAGTCGTCTATGGTCATCCCCACCTCCAATACAGAAAGATTTAACATTAATTTTAGGTGATATGGAGCGATGTGTACTGCACCAAACGGGATTGTTAGGTTGAATTTGTTAAGAAGCAGCTGTTTGAGTGTTGTTAAAGGTTCAGTGTGTAAGATTTAGGTGAAAGGGATTTTTGTCAGAAATTGAATATAAAATAATCCAAGTGATGTTTCCACTGGTGTGTTTGATCTAAATTGTATGAATTGTTGTTTTCTTTACCATAGAATGGTCCTTTATATTTAAATACTTTATATTTACATGGGGGGGGGGGGTTAAGACTGAAGTTCACTACAGGTTCTATCTGTCTTCTATCTTTGGAAGGAGAGGGTGAGGTGAGGAGTATTCAGCTGCATCATGACACTTCACCTCTAGATGTCACTAAATTCTACACACTGCACCTTTAATAGTTGGAAATGTGTGAAACTGTAGTGTTAGTAATGTATGAAGTCAAATAAGGGACATAATATTTTGTTTGTAAAAACTTTAACAGCCTGCAGCTCTATATAAAATTTTGTGTGCCAAAATTATGTATCTGAATGTCTAAAACAATGTGTGAAAAGGTTTTGTGCACACAGATATAATTTCCACATGTAAAGAATTAAACAGTTAAAATTTGTCGAGGAATATTTTCAGCAGTGGGTTTGTTGAGAGACAGAGACAGACACACATATCTTATTTGTGCATCTGATACTGAAGCTACAAGCTACAAGCATGATTTTAATCCTGTATTCAAGCCTGAGCTGACGAGCCAATCATTTACTCTGATCATTTAGGATTTTCAAAGTTTACTCCTCAATGTAATAACTAATATAATATTTTTAAACTTCAGTTCACTGAGCCCCCCTTGGAGTGTTCAGAAACCCCCTTGGGATGCCTGTATCACACTTTGAAAAGCTGTGACCTGACCTAATAGTGCCATATGTATTTCCTCTTTGTGAATAGTGTTTCTATGTTGGGGTGGGTAGAGGTGGGTATAAATGAAAACATGGTGGAACAATGAGAAACATTTTTTGATAAAAGTTTGAATGCTGAATCAATATTTTTTAAGTTGTGAGGATAATGAGATGAAGAGTGGACCGTCATGGGAGCAGCTCTGTGAGGCTGATCTGTGAGCTTTAGGATATAAAGTTGATGAATCTGACATCAAATGTGTAAATAAGGGAAACTGTGCAATCAATCCATTTGTTTTCAGTTGTTAAGCAACTAACTGATATGGTGCCATGTCAATAAAAACCCCACAGAATTCTCACCTCCTCAGTTTCTACAGCTTCTTTCTTGGGTTCAGAGATCAGCAAGGCCTCCATGCCTCGTCTCATGTTGCTCCTGCTTCTGTCAGTGCTGACCTTATTTTTCCCCTCACTGCCCTTATCAGTTTCAGTGATTGCATCCTGGGACCCTGAACTGCCGAGCACCTGAAAGTCTGCACCTTGTCTCGACATAGAGGAGCCATGTGACGGCAGGAGGCTCAGTAAGGAGTGTGCGGACCCCTGCCACGAGCCCTGAGAGGGACTCAGTCTGCTATCTCTGGAGTGGGCCTCCCTCCGTGGTGTGGGGCTGTGTGTACCATACATGTTCCTGGATGGCGATACTTCCCGGCTATTACGAGAGCAAGTGTTGGCCAAGCTGTTCATGCTTGTTCTGGTTCTCGGAGATGCTTGAGATGCTTCATATGAGTTCTGCTGTATGGCAGAGGAGCCACGGCGGGAGATAAACTCCAGGTTCCTGTAGAGTTTCTCAGAGTCTAAACTGTGCTTGACTGAAGCTCTCGATGGACTCCTCGACTCTCGACTGCATCCCCTCTGACCCTCATAGTCACCGTCCTGTAAGTGGAAGGAGTTTGTGCTCCTGTGAGATGGGGGAGCCCTTGGGGGGGAGCTGGTACGAGAGGCGATGGACCGTCTCCTGCGAGATGGACTGGACCTGCCTGATGTATGCCGAGAAGGAGGATGAGACGGAAGCTGAGAAGAGGTGTGTGAGCGAGCCTGACTCCTACAGAGGGAGCTCCCTCTCTGAGGTCCCACAGGAGATTCATGTAACTTGTAGCGGTCAGGACTCACAGAGCTGTGACGGGTTGGTGAGTTTCTCTCTGAGTCAGTTCCCCGTCTGAAGTTGGAATGGTATGTGTACCTCTGTGGGGATTCGCTTCTCCAAATTTCCTGGATGTACGTCTCTGTGTTCCTCCTCTGGGAGGGCACGCCAAGGTTGACATTCCTGTAGGGGACGCAGGCCTTGGGCTCAGGAGCATAGTTGCTGGGGAGGGGGTGTCCCCGCTCGTAGTAACGATATGTACGTTTGTTGACTTCCTCCATCTGCCGCTCACCATCGCCTTTTCTGTCTGGAGAGAAATATCCACTCTCTTGTTCCCTGAATGCTCTGGACTCTGAAAATCATACAAGCCTGAGGTCAGCACTTAAAATATTGAGACATCATGGAGCACTTGTTAACACAGAGGTTTCCTATTCTCTAAACTCAAGATTAAAATGGTCCTCTATTAGTTTTTGACTGACCTGATGGCCGGCGGGACTTGTCTCTGCCCCTCCTCTCGTCCATCCAGGTACTTTCAGTGGCTCTGTGGGGAGAAGGGTCCAGCCGGGTCATATCTCTCTGGGCCACACGGTGCCTCTCTGAGCTGAGGGATCTGCTCCTCTCTGGACAGTCCCACTGATTTGGAGAGCTGCAGGAGGTAAAGCACGGTCATGACAGAAATGTAGATGAAGAAGTTTGAGTTTGATTTCAAATATAAAATATGTACACTGGACAGTCACTTGACTGACAGTCCTCTGGTTGTGGGTAAAACTAAAATCGTGGGCTCAACTTGGTCACTACATTTTGATTCACCTTAAACAGACCATAGACTGAAATATAAAGATAGAGAGCACTTCCTCCCACTTTCCAGTAATGAAACTAAAATAAATACATTTGGAGTCTGTACAGTAATAATCAAAACAAACACCAGTGTGATAAAGAGCTAAAATAAAATATTGTTTGACGTGTACTGTGACTTTTTATTTCAGCTCATGTCTCATCCACTAATATGGTGGAGGCTGGATTTATGACCTATACTACAGCCAGCCAGCAGGTGGTGATTGAGATACTTTGGCTTCACTTTTAAGGATCAGCCATCTCAGTAAAAAGTGTTTTTTGAAAATCAGGCTACTGGATAGTCACCTGGATTGTATGTCAGTGGCACAGATATTAAGTTCCCACTCAGGACTCAGACTGTGGACAAGACTCCACT